TTTTTTTTTTTTTTTTGGGTTTGTGTGTATTATGTTTTTTTTTTTTTTTTTTTTTTTATTTTTTTTTTTTTTTATATTTTGTCCCAATTTGAATGTGTTTAAAGGGAATAAACATTTGTGTATAGCAAAACATGTGTTAATTGTTTTTGTTGGTTTCGTTTTTTTTAATATGTTTCCTGGAGAAAATATCAAGGGTATGCCAACAATTTGATCGGTTTGACTGTTTTGTATGTGTATTTTTGTTTTGTTTTTGGTGTTTTTTTTTTGTTTTTTATTTGTATGTTTATGTTATGTTTTTGTTTTGTTTGTTTTATTTTTATGTTATGGTATGTTATTTTTTTTTTTTTTTTTTATTTTTGTGTGTTTATTTGTTTTTTTGTTTTGTATGTATTTTTTTTTGTTTGTTTATGTTTTTTTTTTTATGTGTTTTTTATATTATTTGTTTTATTTTATATATTATTTTTTAATATTTTATTTTTTAATGTTACAGTTTTCAACATTTTGGGTTATTTTTTAAAGTTTTTTTTGTTTTGTTTTTGAGGTATTTTTTTGTTTTGTTTTTTTTATTTTTTGTTTTTTTTGGTTTTTTGTTTACTTTATTAGGTATTTTTATTTTTTTGTTTTTTTTTTTTTTTTTTTGCCATTTTATTTTTTTTTTTCTTTTTTTTTTTTTTTTTTTTTGGATGTAGGTTGTATAATTAAGTTTTTTTTTTTGCTTTCACGTTTTTTTTACACCAGATTTTGATTTTTTGTTTTTTTTTTTTTGGGTTTTTTTTTTTTGCCCATTTTCCATATTTTTTTGTTTGTAGGGGTTTTTTCCACAGTGTTTTTTTGCCGCTTGGTGTATTTTTTTTTTTTTTTTTTTTTTTTGTTTTTTTTTTTGATTTTTGTTTTTTTTTTTCCAAGTTGAATTTAGATTTTTTTTGGTTTTCTTTATTTGGTTTTTTTTTTTTTTTTGGGTTTTTTTTATTTTATGTTCAGAGTTTATTTTTATTTTTTTTTTTCCCCCCATTGGTTGTTTTTTTTGTTGTAATTTTTTTTTTTTTTTCAGAGGCGTCTTTTTTTTTTAGTTTTTTTTTTTTTGTTTTTTTTTTTTTTTTTAATTTTGTGGTTTTTTTTTTTTTTGTTTGTATATTATATGTGTGTGGTATTGTGTGTTTATGGTATTTTATTTGTTTTTGTTGTTTTTTTTATATTGTTTGTGTGTTTTTTTTTTGTTTTTTTTTTTTTTTGTTGTGTTTATATTTTATTTGTGTGTTTTTTTGTTTTGTGTGTGTTGTTTTTTTTTTGTTGTTGTTTGTTTTGTTTTTTGTGTGTGTGTGTGTGTTTTTATATTTTTTTTTTGTGTTGTTTGTGTTTTTTTTTTTTTATTTTTTGTTTTTTTTGTATTTTTTTTTGTGTGTGTGTGTGTTTTTTTTTTTTTTTGTTTGTGTTTGTGTATTTTTATATTTATTTGTGTGTGTTTTGTTTTTATATTTTATTTTTTGTGTGTTTTTTTTTTATTTTTTTTGTTGTTGGTTTTTTTTTGTTTTTTTTTATATGTTTGTGTGTTTTGTATATTTGTGTGTTTTTTTGTTGTGTTTTTTTTTATTTTATTTTTTGTTTTTTAATATATATATTTGGTTTTTTGTGTGTATTTTTTTTGTGTTTTTTTTATTTTTTTTTGTTGGGTTGTGTGTATATTTTTTTGGGGGTGTTGTGTTTTTTTATTTATTTTTTGTTTGTTTTTGATTTTTTTTTTTATGTTTTGTTGGTTGTTTTTTATGTGTTGTGTGTTTTTATATATAGTGTGTGTGTTTTGTGTGTGTTTTTTTTATTTTGTGTGTGTTTTGTTTATTATTTTTATTTTTTTTTGTGTTATATTTTTTGTGTGGGTTTGTGTGTATTTTATTTATGTGTGTGTGTGGTGTATATTTTTTTTGTTTTTGTGTGTGTGTTTTTATATTTATATGTTATTGTGTATATATATATGTGTGTGTGTGTGTGTGTGTTTTAATATATTTATGTGTTGTGTGTTTTGTTTTATATATATGTTTTTACAAGGGGGGGGGTTTTTTGTATTGTGTATTTTATATGTGTGTGTTTTTTTTTTTTTTGTGTGTTTTATATTTATATGTTTTTTTTTTTTGGTTTGTGTATATATATTTTTATTATTTATATTTGTTTTGTGTGTGGTGTGTTTTATTATATTTTATGTGTGTGTTGTGTGGTTTTTTTATATATGTATTTTTTGTGTGTTTTTTTATATTTGATAGTGGTGTGTTTTTTTATATATATGTTTTGTGTGGGGGGGTTGTGTTTTGTGTATTATATGTTTAATTGTGTGTGGTGTGTGTTTGTTATATTTATATATTGTGTGTGTGTTTATATGTTTATTATATGTGTGTGTGTGTGTATTTATTTATATGTTTTTTTTTGTATTTTATATATTTTGTTGTGTGTTTGGTTTTGTGTGGGGTATTTTTATTATTTGTGTATATATATATTATTTATTTATATTGTGTGTTTTTTTTTATATGTTTTATTTTTGTTTGTGTGTATATATATTTTTATTGTGTGGTTTTATATATGTTTGTGTGTGTGGTGTATATATATTGTGTGTGTGGGTGTGTTATATATATTTATATATGTGTGTGTGTGTGTGTATATGTGTAGTATATTTTATATATTATATTATTTTTATATTATATATATATATATATGTGTGTGTGTGTGTTATAGTGGTTTTATATATATTATTTTTGTGTGTGTGTTTTTTTATATATATATGTGTGTGTTTATATATAATATGTGTGTGTGTGTGTGTGTATATATATTTATATTGTACAGCCCTGAGCAAAACTGTTGCCCCGCTATATAAATCCTGTATAATAATAATTTTATATATATATATATATATATATATATATATATATATATATATATATATATTACATTCATAGAGTATTCAAGACCCCTTCACTTTTTTCAATGTTATGTTGCAGCCTGATACTACAGATGTTTTGAATTCATTTTTTTCCTCATGAATCTACACTTAGGTACCCCATAATGACAAGGCAAAACAGAACTTTAGGCTGGTTTCACACCGATCGGTTTTTCTTCCACTTTTGCATTTAAAAATGCAGAAGAAAATCATGCGACCGTGTATTCCTGTGGAACGCTTCACACTGAACTGTTGGGGGTCAGTTGTGTTTTTTAAAATCCAGCTTGCTTCATTTTTGGTGCGTTAAAGAACAAAACTCACCTCCCCATTGAAATCATTGGAAAATGTGGCAAAAATGCATAAAAGACATACCTTCAGTGCGTTTTTGAGTCACATACCCTTTAAAAAAACGTATTTTGCCGTGTTTTTTTTAGGATCAAGGTGAAACCAGGTTTAGAAATGTCTGTGAAGTTATTAAAAATCTGAAATATCACATTGGCATAGAAGTATTCAGACTATTTGTGACAACACTTCTCTGGATCGTTGCTGAGATGTTTGTTCACCTTGGTTGGAGGCCGCCTGTGGTAAATTCAACTGATTGGACAGGATTTGGAAAGGCACACGCCTCTCTATAAAGGGCCTCACAGCTGACAATGTATACTGTATCAGAGAAAAAGCAATGAGGTCAAAGGAACTGCCTGCAGAGCTCAGAGACAGGATTATTGCAAGGCACAGAACTGTGGAAGGTTACGAAAAAATTTTCTGCTGCGCTGAAGGTTCCCAAGAGTCCAGTGTCTTCTATAATTCTCATATGGAAGACGTTTGGCACAACTACAGAACTAGGAGCTGGTCGGCCGGCCAAACCGAGTAATCGGGGAAGAAGGAATCCCTGAGGAGATGACGTGATCTGTAACGCAACGTGTCGAACGGAGCCGGGTGATGTCACTTCCGGTCACCGCCAAGACCAGAATAATCAGTTTACATCTCTGTGGAACTCATATTGCGCCTATTTTTTACTACTTCTGTGGCATTTTTTATTTAACCACCTCCTGTCCGGCTGTTTTATATAAACGGGCGGACGGACGGTGACAGTGCAGGGTCAGGTTGCTGATTATAAACGGCCTCCCCGCCCCCTGCTTGTGCGCGCTCCCTGGAAGCGCCCAGCACCGCGATCCGGTGCCTGCTGTGTCCTCCGGACACAGTGGAACACCGATCATCAGACGGGACCTCTGTGCGAGGTCCCGATCATGTGATCACTGATTGGCCAATCAGTGATCACATGCAGAGTAGTAAGCAAGATGTCACTTCTGACATCATTGCATACTACGTGTGAAATCTGTGAATGATCACAGAGATCACATGGTACAGGGCTATTCACAACAGCCTTGTACCATGTGACAAGCTGTGACCAATCACAGCTCTCATAGTATTTCTCAATGGCTGCAAGAATGCAGCCAGAGAAAAGGAGAAATGATTGCTTTTACAGCCTTTAAAAAAAAATCTTCGTCACCCCCCACAAGTAGTTCAGTGTCACCATGGTGACACTGTACAGCTAGGGTGACAGTATGTAAAAAAAAAACACCAAAAAACATAAATAATATAAAAAAAAAATAAAAATGTAAAACTAAATGTTTAAAATTTATAATTTTTGGTTATAAAACTAGTTTGGGTTATTTTTTTTTTTTTTCACTAAAAAGATAACTGAATACATTTTGGCCAAGATTTATGATGAAATACTATTTATTTGCAAAATTTTGTAAGAAACACTTTTTTAAAAATTTTTGGACATTTTCATTTACATAGCAAAAAAAAAAAAAATCCCAGCAGTGAATAAATGCCACCAAAATAAAGCTTTATCTGTCTCAAAAAAATGCTAAAAAATTCATATGGGTACAGTTTTGCCCGACCGCGCAATTGTCATTCAAAGTGTGTGATAGCGCTGAAAGCTGAAAATTGGCCTGGACTGTAAGGGGGTGAAAGTGTCCGGACTGGAAGGGGGTGAAAGTGTCCGGACTGGAAGGGGGTGAAAGTGTCCGGACTGGAAGGGGGTGAAAGTGTCCGGACTGGAAGGGGGTGAAAGTGTCCGGACTGGAAGGGGGTGAAAGTGTCCGGACTGGAAGGGGGTGAAAGTGTCCGGACTGGAAGGGGGGTGAAAGTGTCCGGACTGGAAGGGGGTGAAAGTGTCCGGACTGGAAGGGGGGGAAAGTGTCCGGACTGGAAGGGGGGGAAAGTGTCCGGACTGGAAGGGGGGGAAAGTGTCCGGACTGGAAAGGGGGGAAAGTGTCCGGACTGGAAGGGGGGGAGAAAGTGTCCGGACTGGAAGGGGGGAAAGTGTCCGGACTGGAAGGGGGGGAAAGTGTCCGGACTGGAAGGGGGGGAAAGTGTCCGGACTGGAAGGGGGGGAAAGTGTCCGGACTGGAAGTGAAAGTGTCCGGACTGGAAGGGGGGGGGGAAAGTGTCCGGACTGGAAGGGGGGAAAGTGTCCGGACTGGAAGGGGGTGAAAGTGTCCGGACTGGAAGGGGGTGAAAGTGTCCGGACTGGAAGGGGGTGAAAGTGTCCGGACTGGAAGGGGGTGAAAGTGTCCGGACTGGAAGGGGGTGAAAGTGTCCGGACTGGAAGGGGGGGAAAGTGTCCGGACTGGAAGGGGGGGGGAAAGTGTCCGGACTGGAAGGGGGGGGTGAAAGTGTCCGGACTGGAAAGTGTCCGGACTGGAAGGGGGTGAAAGTGTCCGGACTGGAAGGGGGTGAAAGTGTCCGGACTGGAGGGGGGGAAAGTGTCCGGGACTGGAAGGGGTGGTGAAAGTGTCCGGACTGGAAGGGGGGTGAAAGTGTCCGGACTGGAAGGGGGTGAAAGTGTCCGGACTGGAAGTGATTAATAAATGATTGATTTGAAATATATATAATATGCGCGATCTTATTATTTATTTATTTGTACTTATATAGCGCCATCAATGTACGCAGCACTTTACATATATATTGTACATTCACATCAGTCCCTAACCCTCGAGGTGCATACAATCTAAGGTCCCTAACTCACATTCATACATACACATACTAGGGACAATATAGACAGGAGCCAATTCACCTCCCAGCATGTCTTTGGAGTGTGGGATCTTTGTCACAATTTCTCATGAGTACCTCCTGATTACCAGCAGTGATCAGCGAGTACCCATAGGAGCGGCTTGTGAGTGGAGAAAGAGCAGTACCTAACGCCTGGAGATATAACAGATTTGACCTGTATGAATGTGAGCGACCACTCCTCGCTTTGGTGGAGGACGGTTTCAGATCTATCACACTGGACATTTTATTAGGTTTTGGATTGAAGATTAATTCACCTTTTGATGCGCATGGATTTCCTTTAATGCGGTGGACATTATTCATATAATTCACTTATAATATATGCATTTTTCATATGAGTTGCACCTTGTATTTAGGACATGATGATCTATAATTAGTAGATGATAGAGCAATTTTTTTTTTTTTGGGGGGGGGGGGGTATTATGCTATATAATGTGGTGATTATGCACGCGATTACGTTGATTTATTTATTGATCTACACCGTATTTTACACTATTGCTACTATCATTTGGTTAATTTCAGGATTAAGTTGGGGATCCAACATAACTTAGTAATTGTAATGAATAGTTTGGCACTTAATTCTAATTTATTCACAGCGCTGTTTTGCATTATTTTTACTAACACACATGATAGAGCTTGGCACCATTATTTTATATTTTATTCTGTAGTGTGCCACACAGCTCGGTGTTAGCAGCTTATCCCATTTTTAGATCTGTATGTGGCAGCGCATAAATTTATTGCCATATAAGTACTACAGGTGGTCGGAGGCTGTAGGCATGTTGCAGGAGATGGTCGGAGGCTGTAGACATGTTGCGGGGAGATGGTCGGAGGCTGTAGACATGTTGCAGGAGATGGTCGGAGGCTGTAGGCATGTTGCGGGAGATGGTCGGAGGCTGTAGACATGTCGCGGGAGATGGTCGGAGGCTGTAGACATGTCGCGGGAGATGGTCGGAGGCTGTAGACATGTTGCAGGAGATGGTCGGAGGCTGTAGGCATGTTGCGGGAGATGGTCGGAGGCTGTTGTCATGTCACAGGAGATAGTCGGAGGCTGTAGACATGTCGCGGGAGATGGTCGGGAGGCTGTAGACATGTCGCGGGAGATGGTCGGAGGCTGTAGACATGTCGCGGGAGATGGTCGGAGAGGCTGTAGGCATGTTGCAGGAGATGGTCGGAGGCTGTAGACATGATGCGGGAGATGGTCGGAGGCTGTAGACATGTTGCAGGAGATGGTCGGAGGCTGTAGGCATGTTGCGGGAGATGGTCGGAGGCTGTAGACATGTCGCGGGAGATGGTCGGAGGCTGTAGACATGTAGCGGGAGATGTCGGAGGCTGTAGACATGTTGCAGGAGATGGTCGGAGGCTGTAGGCATGTTAGATGGTCATGTTGTCATGTCACAGGAGATAGTCGGAGGCTGTAGACATGTCGCGGGAGATGGTCGGAGGCTGTAGACATGTCGCGGGAGATGGTCGGAGGCTGTAGACATGTTGCAGGAGATGGTCGGAGGCTGTAGACATGTCGCGGGAGATGGGTCGGAGGCTGTAGACATGTCGCAGGAGATGGTCGGAGGCTGTAGACATGTCGCAGGAGATGGTCGGAGGCTGTAGACATGTCGCGGGAGATGGTCGGAGGCTGTAGACATGTCGCGGGAGATGGTCGGAGGCTGTAGACATGTCGCAGGAGATGGTCGGAGGCTGTAGGCATGTGCGGGAGATGGTCGGAGGCTGTAGGCATGTCGCGGGAGATGGTCGGAGGCTGTAGGCATGTCGCAGGAGATGGTCGGAGACTGTAGGCATGTCGCAGGAGATGGTCGGAGGCTGTAGACATGTTGCAGGAGATGGTCGGAGGCTGTAGACATGTTGCAGGAGATGGTCGGAGGCTGTAGACATGTTGCAGGAGATGGTCGGAGGCTGTAGGCATGTTGCAGGAGATGGTCGGAGGCTGTAGGCATGTTGCAGGAGATGGTCGGAGGCTGTAGGCATGTTTGCAGGAGATGGTCAAAGGCTGTAGGCATGTTGCAGGAGATGGTCGGAGACTGTAGGCATGTTGCAGGAGATGGTCAAAGGCTGTAGGCAAGTTGCAGGAGATGGTCAGAGACTACGGACATACTACAGAAGATGGTGAGAGATTTCTGGAGACACTCCTAGACTGGAGACAGATTACATGAGACTGCTGGAGATCACTATTACAGCCCCTTTACTAATCATTGCTTCCGCATTTGTTCCTCTTCGTGCTTCTTTAAAAATCACCCAAACCACATTTGATATTCCTCTCAGCAAAATCTATTCTAAAAGATCAGAGGGAAAACCGCAAAAAAGAAAAGAGATGGACAGCACGGGAAAAAAGTAATATCGTATGAAAGAAACCCAACCAGAGCCATGCTAAAGTATATTCTTCCCTTGCTGGGTTGAGTAATCGCCAAGATATGGAAAGCACTACAAGGGCCCGAGGGCCACACAATAAGTGCCGAAAGGTTGCATGCTACCCCCAGGCCACAGGCTGGACACCTGGGTGTTACATTGTGGGGTTAGGATTGGTACGGGTTCCGGCACGGTATTTGTTGGCGAATTGCGCTCAAGGCACGTCGCCAGGATTTTCTCTTTGTGTGTTTTTTATTTTAAACACGACCGTGCTCTGCTTGCAGAAAAACAAATAGATTTGTGCTGGTGGGGAGCGGTGCGGTTTTGTCTCTGGAACAGGCCTTGTCAGATCTAATGAAAGGAAGGCGAGGCTTACCAATTCTAATGAGGTGATGTGACGGCACCGGCTCCGGGGCTCGTCTCTGGAATTTTAATACATGGAGAATAATTGTGGAAATCACCTTGCGTATGCTGTAGAAAGGCAACAGAAGGGTCTGCTGAACTGAAATGGGAAATTGATTAGCTTTCAGTTGATGGAACAGGCGCTATTGATTTCTGTGTACCCCTACTATCATATGCCAATGTAGAGGATATACTGAGGCAAGAAATAGGATGTCTCAGTAGCTCTCACTGGGACTGGGTCATGTGATGTCTCGGTGACTGTCACTGGGACTGGGTCATGTGATATCTCGGTGACTGTCACGGGAATGGGTTATGTGATCTCTCATTGGCTGTCACTGAGACTGGATTATGTAATGTCTCAGTAGCTGTCACTGGGACTGGGTCATGTGATGTCTCGATGACTGTCACTGGGACTGGGTCATGTGATATCTCGGTGACTGTCACGGGAATGGGTTATATGATGTCTCATTGGCTGTCACTGGGACTGGATTATGTAATGTCTCAGTAGCTGTCACTGGGACTGGGTCATGTGGTCTCTCAGATGTAACTAGGGTTGGGTCATTTGATCTCTCTGTAGCTGTCCCTAGGGATGGGTCATGTGATCTCTCTGTAGCTGTCACTAGGGTTGGGTCATGTGATCTCTCTGTAGCTGTCGCTAGGGTTGGGTCATGTGATCTCTTTGTAGCTATCACTAGGGTTGGGTCATAAAATCTTTTAGTAGATGTCACTAGGGTTGGGTCCAGGGGCGGACTGACAACTCATGGGGCCCTCGGGCTATAGGGGATCATGGGGCCCCTTCTGTGTCCTTGCCCAAACTCAAAAAAGCCTATGAAAAAGGTACCAGGGGCATCTCATGGGGCCCTCTACTGACCCCGGGCCCTCGGGCAGTGCCCGAGTTTCCAAATGGTCAGTCCGCCCCTGGTTGGGTCATACAATCTTTTAGTAGCTGTCACTAGGGATGGGTCATGTGATCTCTCTGTAGCTGTCACTAGGGATGGGTCATGCAATCTCTTTGTAGCTGTCACTAGGGATGGGTCATGCAATCTCTTTGTAGCTGTAGGGATGGGTCATGCGGATTTGTAGCTGTCACTAGGGATGGGTCATCTCTCTTTGTAGCTGTCACTAGGGATGGGTCATGCGATCTCTTTGTAGCTGTCACTAGGGATGGGTCATGCGATCTCTTTGTAGCTGTCACTAGGGATGGGTCATGTGATCTCTCTGTAGCTGTCACTAGGGATGGGTCATGTGATCTCTTTGTAGCTGTCACTAGGGATGGGTCATGTGATCTCTTTGTAGCTGTCACTAGGGATGGGTCATGTGATCTCTCTGTAGCTGTCACTAGGGATGGGTCATGTGATCTCTCTGTAGCTGTCACTAGGGATGGGTCATGCGATCTCTCTGTAGCTGTCACTAGGGATGGGTCATGTGATCTCTTTGTAGCTGTCACTAGGGATGGGTCATGTGATCTCTCTGTAGCTGTCACTAGGGATGGGTCATGCGATCTCTCTGTAGCTGTCACTAGGGATGGGTCATGTGATCTCTCTGTAGCTGTCACTAGGGATGGGTCATGCGATCTCTCTGTAGCTGACACTAGGGATGGGTCATGCGATCTCTCTGTAGCTGTCACTAGGGATGGGTCATGTGATCTCTCTGTAGCTGACACTAAGGTTGGGTCATGTGATCCCTCTTTAGCTGTCACTAGGGATGGGTCATGTGATCTCTCTGTAGCTGTCACTAGGGATGGGTCATGTGATCTCTCTGTAGCTGTCACTAGGGATGGGTCATGCGATCTCTCTGTAGC